CGCGGAGTCCACATCGCACTCAGCTCTGTTCCGAACAGTGAAGTGCCTGCCGTTGAGGCTTGTTTAAGTTATTGTAAGTGCATACCGTACTTTCATCAATTGGACTGTCAATTATTAGTGCTACCGATAACAGTACTAAATTCAGAAACCATTGAAAGTGATTTAGTACCCAGCAACCCTGGCCTAGGGCAAAGCGTAGCCGGGGCCATGGCCGCTCTGTATAATCCAGACTGCGCCATGGACACCTCATTAATCAAGACGCCGCCATTCCATGGCGAACGTCACAGCGGTGCTACACAACAAGGCAACATTGGTCTCCAATATGCTATCCTCAATCAACACCCGTCGCACGCGGGAGTCCAGGGAATTCCAATTCCGGAAATTCGGGAACTACCGACAAACGCCGCTACTAAGGTCAGTGCTCAGCAAACTGCTAGCGATACACCCCAAGGCGTAACAAAAACAGTAAGTGGAAAGCAAGATACCGCGGACAGTTCAACATATAGCGGAAAGAGAACATTTAGTGACTCAAATGAAAATGAAAATCCCCCTAAAAAATAATCAACAGTGCTAAAAGTGTATATTCAGTGCCAGCAGGTAATATTTATGCACCCTCAGAAAATCTAATAGACCATGATTCCAGGTTTAATTATATAAACATCACCCCAAGCCAAGATGAAAATGTCAAGATTCCACGAATTTGTGTGCATACATAACAAACTTATCAGGGTGTAATAGAGAGATCAAAAATAATATTTCTAATCAATTCACGTCCAGTATAATTAATAACCGAATAAAGATAATTTTCAAAACAATAACCGACTTCAGAAAACCAATTAAATATTCATTAAATACTAAATGAAATTTTCACACCTGTAAAGACCCTGCAAATAAAAAATTCTCCACAGTTTTTAAAAATGTTCATCAATCTTTATCAATAAAGGAAATCTTCGAGGATGTCAAGAAAAAATCGTTAATCGGTGTTACCAGACTGCACAAAGACAACATTCCTATCCCAGTGGTAGCTGCCGAGTTAAACGGCCAACCGAGCATAGACATTGTATTGCAAATAACGGAAATTTGCAACTTAAAAGTGAAAGTTGAAAAAAGACATAGAACAAAAGGACCCCTTCAATGCCTAAGATGTTTAGACTTTGGTCATACCCGCAATAATTATAACCACACCTTAGTCTGTACTTACTGCTCAAAAGATCATTATTCGGTTAATGGTCCAAATAAAATGCTCACCCCTGTTTGTAAGAACTGTAACGGGTCACATCGTGCAGACGTCCGCTCTGACGAATGCCCGTTCTTTAAAAAAAACCCACCCCGCTAACGGAGATCAGAATGGAGAACCACCATCCAAAACATCACAACCAACCAATCCCAGAAAGAGACCCAACAATAACAACTCATGTCGCTTACCTTCTCACAATTTTCCCCACTCACAAACAGCATTCCTAATTTTACTTTCGTCCCAACTACAACCTCCAATTCGAATCCTCTTTATCAATCCACCCAAAACCACCCATCAGCAAACAACACAAACTCTAATAATAGCAATGATATTAATTCATTTATACATTCCCTAATAAATTCCATTACAACTCATATCGTAAACATAATCAATTCAATCATCGCAGCAATAATCAGTAATATACAAACTTCATTGTCATCTTACTTCAATAGCAACGATGGCAGCACAACACACTAACAACTTAATAACCTTCATAAACTGGAACGCGAATAGTATTGCTAATAAAAACTAGAATATACGCAATTTTTCCATACCTATAATGTTGACGTTGCTTGCATTACGGAAACTCATTTAAAACCTAGCAATAAGTTCTACTGTTCAGAGTATGTCACATACAGAAAATATAGATCAGCACACACAGGAGGAGGCAATCAATTCAAACATAACACATCACCTCATACCAATGCCTAAATTCAATGAAATAGAAGTAATTGCTCTTAATGCCGATATATTACAACAATCTTGGACAATTATAACAATTTATAAACCTCCCGATCGTAAATTAAACATAAACAACATCAACAATTTATTTCAAGCAGGCAATTATGATTTAATACTCGGAGACATGAACGCAAACATACGTCATAGGGCTGCAAAAACAATAATCGTGACGGAAAAAACCTGGCAAATTTCATAAACAATTCCGCATTGAAAGTAATAACAACGCCGGAACCTACAAACTACCCCCATGACAATTCAAGGCCCCCGACGTATTATACATAGGAATAACAAATTATCGCTTCCAGAATATTCAAAATAGATTCAGACCACATCCCCGTACTCATAACCAACAAATTCCACCCCCTCAGGCTACATTTCCTAAAACAAAAAAATGTAAGATCAATTGACCCAAGTTTCAAACAGAATTAAATTCATAAATCCCCAAAATTAAAATACTTCACATCCCTCTCGAGATTGACCAATCAGTATCATTTCTAAATTCTATCATCCAAACGACAACCCAAAAATTAGAATTACAAACAAAAGCTTGGAAGAAAACAAATTACACCAACCTTACCCCAGAAATCATGAAAATTATAAACATTAAAAATAAAACCAGAAGATTGTTGGCCCTCTCAAAAAGTAATAGCGTCTAACACGAACTAAATATTCTCAGAAATATCCTAAAAAAGCATTAAGAAATCATAAAAATAATCAATTTCAGAACTTCTTCAGTCTCTCAATACACAACACAAATTGGCCATTCACAAAAAGATAGTAAAGGAAAGAAATCATAATTCCTCGAATTAAAGCAGCAACAACAACAGCATACTTTCAAACCTTTTAAAAAAGCAGAAAATTTCTTAAATTATTTTTCGTCAACCTTTACCATTAATACCTCGCATCTCACCAAGTAATCAATAATGCATCATATACCCCTACCAACGGACCACACTCAAGAAGTTAATATCACCGAAAGAAATAAAAAAGTATGACCAAACTGCCAATAAAAAAAATCCTGGGCACGGTAACATAAGTAATGCAATAGTCTAACACTTTCCTTCCTCTGTTCTCTCAATAAACTTTTTTCTCTCAATGAAATCTATTTCTTAAAGATTGATTTTGAAATATGGTCATGTACAATTGTTCAATAATCTGAGTACTTTTCACGCATTTTGCGTGAAATACGGGCGAGAAACTACGAGGTGTTTTAGCACTACTAGTTTTCATCAGTCTAGGGAACTTTGTTTTATGCACAACACCTTTATAATTAATCTTCCAATCTGAGACTATTTTCTTTTAGACCTTTTTTTGCGGACCAAACACAGCCACATCCAAAGGTTGGCATACCTGGGTGCTATTCGCAGGTAAAAACACAATCGACATGGTCTGGTCTCGGTAAAAACACAATCGATCTTTTTACTCACATAATCTAATAATATTTATGGATAGATGACTGCTAAAATTGTCACCTAGCATCACTTTTCTTCCAAAACTTCTTTTTTAGCTAGTGGTGCTGTAGAATGGCATATACTTTCTCGTACTAGTTAATTTTCTAATTTTTTTTGTCTGGTCTCGGTTTTCGATTTTGCCCCATCCTTTTGCCAGCTATCATCTACCGCCGACCAAAGTACTTCTTATTTTTAATCTCAATTTTTCGGTTCTCTAATGGTAGAACTGAAATATTATTGAAATAATGAAACGCTTCCCTATATCATCTGAGACTAAGTTGAAAAATGAAGGGAATTCCCGCCCCCCTATAAAATTCTTTGTTTCCAAACGAGGACTCGGCTAAGGGACTTCCGAATGTATGGTCCTCGTTATTGTTCTGAACTATTGCGGGTGATGAAGTCGCTTTCAGATATTTCGAGTTTCAGATTTTCGAGTTCGCACTATTCGAATGAATCCCAACAACAACACTTTCCCTATTCTACATATTCGGGAACGTAAAAATTAAAAGTATTTATTTCTTTGTTAAATGAAAACGGACAGAAAGATCTGAGTAAATGTTGCTATACTCACCTTGTTGCAAAATAAACAAGTATTGGCAGAATTACAGCAACGATGAAGAGGGACAAAACGAGGAAGACAACCCAGAGTTGAGTCTCCCTTGGCCAAGGCCTTCGCTTGGGCCTTTTCCGTGCGGCGGTGGGCCTGTCATCGTCGAACATAGGACCCTGAGAAGAAAAAACAGTCAAGGGGTAACACAAGCATTTTACTTTCTCGCTACGGAGAAGAGAAAGAGTTATACAATGCTGCGGCAATGCAGCTGCTGAAAAAACGGCAAGTTTTCGACGGAAAAATCCTTATTGTCGAAACCTGGTTACGAAAAAGTGGAGAAGTCCAGTTGCTAAATTTACTGACAAAATCCTCTATTACGTGGTATGCCCAGAATCCATATTTTGTGGGACCTTGACACGGAAAAAGTCGAGAAATAGATGGCACTATCGCAAGCTGAACAAATAGGCTTCTCATTTCAATATCGAGTGCTGTCTCTTATTTATACCTTTTGCTCACACTCTAGTTACCTAACAAAGGAAAACATGTTTTGTCATAATCTCTTCAAGTTGCACATTGTAATTAAGAATGATATTGTGACGGTTTTGAGGCATCTGCAAATATAGTGGCACGTTGTTTAAATAAAGTGGCCAGTGAAAGCATAAACCTGCATAAACAATTGACTGATGGCGTGCGGCGAAATTTTATTTATTTTTGTCCTCTGGAATCAATAAACTTGAAAAATAACTCAAGCTTATAAAAGTAAAGAGCAGAGAACAAATAAGAATGAACAAAACGAGTGTACGATAAGTTTGTGTAAGAAAACTTCGTGAAACTGCAATTTATGTACTCAAGAAACAAATGAGCATGTACAGCTGAGGTAAGCACGGCTGGAATTTTGTGAAATTTTGAGGAAAACTAATGTAAAAGAGGTTATGGAACTCTGCAGAATTACAAGAATTTTGATACTGCATTTACGGACTGCAGACGTTTAAATACGAAACAGGACATGAGGGGAAAAACCGATTTTTGTGGGAAATAGGTCCGAGACAAGTGAAAGAGAACGATGCCTTTTTTTTGCTTGTAAAAGGTTAGTCGAGGCGAAAAACGCAGAGGAGAGACGGGGCAAAAGTTGGTTGACGTAACAAGTAAGAATGCCCATAGTGTTAAAATGATGCAAATGATAAGCGTTGAAATGTGCGGAAGTTACAAATATGAATATGGAATGAACTGAAACATGGGTTTTCGAATGAAATGGAATGGATCTGGGAAAACAATGCACATCGTTTGAATAAGGGTTTGAAATAAATTTAACTATGAATGTGGGTAACTTTTGACATTTTGAGGAAGTGTGTGTGTGTATATATATGTATATATATATATACATTTACAAATATATTATATATAGTATATATATGATATATATGATGTTAGTATATTAGATATATGAGGATAATATATTAGATATATATAGTCGATTATAGTATAGTTAAGATAATATAGATATATAGATACATAGATATAGATATTCTACTACGAGACCCCGAGTTCGAGTCAAGATTTTAGTGAGCGTTTTTCTTAGAATGCTCCAGTACACGTTGCAGTGTGACGGTAAGAAAACTCACTCTTCAGGTTGAGAAGACTGGAATATGGTGAGGGGATGACTTCGTGCTTAACCATACGAACCCCCTTAACCCATGCTCGCGAGGCACGGACGTCGCCGGTAGGCCTGAGCTAGGCTATGATTTATAACCAAAAACCTTAATATATTTACAAAATATTTACCTTTCTGGACATTTTGCCCATACCTTTACATCACAGACTCAAGAGTTCATGAATGTCAATAGTTTGATTTGATTTGAATTTGCCTTATTTTACGTGGTGAGACTCGGGTCATCAGGCCCGCTCTTCCGTCTGACCACGCAAATTTCGCTACGCTCCTTTCACCAACTAGCAGAGAAAGGAGGTATTTCTTGGGCGAGAAACAGGCGATTTGAATTTAGCTCAGAGGCGTCATTTAGGCTGGAGGATCTTTTACATGCAAGTAAATTTACTAACATGGGACAGCCGGCTTTACTTCCCCTCCGAAGGAAGGCGTACGAAGGATTTTGTCGCCCTAAAAATCCACGGCTTCGATCGGGTTTGAACCCGCGAACTTGGGTATAATAGTCCAATACGCTAACTATCACACCATCGCCGCTGTCAAACACCGTCGCCGCCGTCTCAATAGTTTAGCTGCACGCTACCATTGGATAACGTCTGATATCTACGAATTTCATCAATGGACAGAATTGTGTATTTAGAGGACTGATTTCTTCTGCTGAGCTAGTCACCGCTTTATTTGTAAAAGTAACTTAATTATTAATTTTAATTGCGTGTTGGCGTGCGTGTATTAAGTGAACAAGAGACGAAATGTTTGTAAGGCGAAATCATTGTATGACGGATTTGGTTAATATTCCTGTAAAACGGTACAAATGCACACATATTTAGTTGTAGTAAATTAAGGATAATTATGAGAGTTTTTGCAAGACGGGAAACCTATTGTCATAGTGCGTAAACATTATCGTCAATAGAAAATAACGTATCTTCAGAAAATGAGGTTTTGTAAGAAGTAGAACAGAAAGCATACGTTAAAACTAGGAACTTATTAGAACTGCATATACCTCTAACAGGATCTAAATGCTTTTATTGAATATCTGTTTATCTCTGAGGCTTTTCTCTCTTGTATATGCATAAGATAGTAAACAGTCAACGGCGGACAGCGATATTACTCACGGTAACTTTTCTTGAACGATGACCTTGCTTCCCCCTCTCTGGCACAATAAACGGATGAAGGCAAAAGCTCGCAGCGAGCACTGATGACAACATTCCAAACACATCTTCACTGGCGCAAAGTAGAAACAGTTTGCTTTTGAAGACGAGAACTTCTATCGGTTATTTTCTCCAAAAATCTAAAGAAATGACGGAAGCATGTACGGATCTATCACAGGAGACACCTCGAACTCCTGATAAAGTTAGAACGCAAATTATTAAGAACGTTTCGAGGGCGTTACTGATTCTCCAGAGATTGGCATTGCTTTATAAAATCTAGTGGCTGTTTACATAACTAATACCCCCACTCTACCCGCATTTCTTCAATTCATCGTTCAAGAAAAGTTGCGCCAGTAATACTAGCAACATCGTATGCTCCTTTCGCGTGTACTTCGACAGTGTTTCTAATACCATATTTGGTGTTCATATAAACAAAACTGTAATATAGTTTCTTCTTGAAATGTATTCTTTGCGTGGCCGCTACTCGAAAGAGTGGCAACTAACGTCAATATGGATACAGAACAACAAGGGAAACATAACCTCAAACGCCCAACAACTACTACAACAACAACAACATGGATCAATCTTATGCTGGAGCTGCGTCAATGGACATTTTCCCGTCAAGGGACAAACAATTATTATAGAAGCCCACGAAGGATTTGCAATAAAAGATTAGGTGAGTAAAATATCAACTTTTGTCAATCCAAGTGATATCAGATTTGTGTCGCACCTAATAGGGTAAATTATATATTAATTATAATATTATTAATTAAAAATATATACGTAATAGTGTTTGTGTGTTCTTAAGTACCAAGAAAATCGCTAACTACCTAACAGATAATAATCAAACTTAATCACGTTCAGCATAACAACCTTGACTCAGATGAATGGAAACTCAAATATCGCGAAACCTATGACAAATATAAAAATAACTACAATATCTTCATTGACGGACGCAATAATACAACATTTTCGGAGGTCATAGTGAAGGATCCCAAATCTTTGGTGAAATTCCGGGTAATGAACATCAAGAAAACCTGTTCAATCATGCAATTTTGGAAGCGCTCCAAAAGACAATCTATAACTGCACCGATGCCACTATCATCACTAATAAAATTCTTAAAGATATCTTCAAAATATATGATGAAACACAATCCAAAACGACGGGTCGAATTAAAGAACTACTTCATATGATTAAACTTCAAGGCTTATCAGTAATTTTTCTTCTTTTACTTAATCAGCTGTATCGAATTATTATGACCGAAATACATAATAATGAAACTAATACAAAGATAGTAATTGTAAGACCTAACCCTGGATATTTCAAGATATCATAAGATTCATACATAGGAAGATGATCCAGCAATGGGAGCCGATATAGCGATATGATAAAACTTGTAATACTCACAAATCAATCGATTTATTCCTATCAATCAACTAGGACCCCAAGATGACTAGATGCAAGCAAGTTTTAATTACACGAATTAGAACTGGTCATTCTAAAGGTACTTGCTGGAGAATACCTTACCATCATTATGTGATATGTGTCGAGTAAGACTATCAGTCTAACACAGGACCTATCGCAAATATGAACACATTAGAACTATGTATTTTAATTCAAAAGAAATAGAGAAAATCCTGTACTCTGTCCCCTTTCATAACCAGATTATCAAATTTTGCAAAAACACAAATGTCATGCTGAAACTGTAATGTTATGGTAAGCCCACTTGAATCTCGAGAGCTGATGTGTTATGATCCTACCCCGATGATATTGTATGATTATGTTACGAGTATGTAGGATAAATAATAGTATGTTATAATCTATAATTTAGGATGCTTATGTTAATGTAATGATGTGTAATCCTCGAAAAGATATCTTATGACCATGTCCTGATTATACTGTATGTTGATGGTATGTAAGATAAATAATATGTGATACTGTATTATGTTATGACCTATATATTACGATAATTGTGTTAATGTAATGACGGATGAAGCCATAATTGTCTGTAAATACCTGTTTTAAAAATGTAGTCTCTAATAACCTTAGTCGTTGATGCGACAAAAATAAAGAGAAAAGAATGATAGTAAAACATATTATACATGAAATCTGATTGTATAGTACGAATATGTAATACATGTCTAATATCTAATACTACAGCTTCCTAGTCTGAGAATGCAACCCCGCAATTATACTAATACATATTTATATTGTTTATATATTCATTATTAATCTTTATATATATATATATATATATATATATATATATATATATATAATCCTAAACAATTACTTTAGTGTATTTCTGACATATTTAAATTAACTTGAGAAGTACTAAGTTCTG